TTCAGGCATTCTACCTATTCTATCTTTCAGCAGATTTAATGTTTCTGTTTTAATATTTAGATCTTTAGGGCCGGGAATTTAGCTCAGTGGTTCTGTCACTTGCCTCACAAGCGCAAGGACCTGAGTTTGATCCCTGGTCCCCCCCAAAAAACAAAAAAAGATCTTTGATCCATTTTGATTTTAGGTAAGTGCGTGGTGAAAGATATGGGTCTACTTTCAATCTTCAGCTTATGGAAAGCCAGTTTTTTGAGCACCATTTATTAAAGAGGCTATCTTTCTTCCAGTGAAGGTGTTTGGCTCCTTTGTCAAAGATAAGGTGGTTGAGTGTGTTTGGAGTTGTTTCTGCATCCTCTAGTCTGCTCCATTGATCTTCAGGTCTGTTCTTTTGCCAGTACCATGCTATTTTTTCCTTTTTTTTTTTGGTACCGGGGATCGAACTCTGGTCCTTGTGCTTGTGAGGTAGGCGGAGGAAACACTGAGCTAAATCCCTGGCCCCAAAATCCCATTATTTTGTTTTATTTGGGTACTGGCGATCAAACTTGGGTCCTTGCACTTGTGAGGCAGGTGGCAGAACCACTGAGCTAAATCCCCGGCCCACCGTGCTGTTTTTATCACTGTAGCTTTGTAGTATAATTTCAAGTTAGGGATTGTGATACCCCCTGCTTTGCCTTTGTTGCCCAGAATTGTCTTTGCTCTTCTAGGTCTGTTCTGGTTCCAAATGAATTTTAGGATTGTTTTCTCTAATTCTGTGAGATCTGCTCTTGGGATTTTGATTGAACCTGTATAACAATTTTGGAAGCATGGCCACTTTCACTACATTGGTTCTTCCTATCCAAGAACGGGGGCTATCTTTCCAATTTCTGGTATCCTCTTCAATCTCCTATTTCGAAGTACTGTAGTTTTCAATGTAAAGGTCTTTTACTTCCTTTGTATTGATTCCCAGGTATTTCATTTTTTTGGATGCTATTATGAAAGTGATTGTTTCTCTAATTTCTCTCTCCATGAGACTGTTATTCACATACAGGAAGGCTATTGATTTTTGAGTGTTGACTTTGTATTCAGCTATGCCACTGAATTTGGTTATCCAATCTAGAAGTCTTTTGGTGGAGTTTTTAGGATCTTCTATGTAGAGTATCATGTCATCCACAAATAATGATAATTTAACTTCTTCCTTTCCTATCCTTATTCCTTTTATTTCTTTCTCTTGTCTAATTGCTGTGGCTAATGTTTCCAGAAGTACATTGAACAAGAGTGGTGACAGTGGACATCCTTATCTTATTCCTGATTTTAGAGTGAAAGCTTTCAGTTTTCGACCATTTAATATGATGTTGGCTGTTGGTTTGTCATAGATGGCTTTTATCAGATTGAGATAAAGACCATCTATTCCAATTGTCTGTAGGTTTTTATCATAAATGGGTGTTGGACCTTATTAAATGCTTTTTCTGCCTCTATTGAGAGGATCATATAGTTTTTTTCCTTGGCTCTGTTAATACAGTGTATTACATTTCTTGATGTGTGTATGTTGAACCATCCCTGCATCCCTGGGATGAATCTAACTTGGTCAGGGTGTGTGACCTTCTTGATTTGCTGCATTCTGTTTGCCAGTGTCTTACTGAGGATTTAGGGTTTATGTTCTTTAGGGAGATTGGCGCTGTCTTAGCCTCACAGCCAGAGGCAGAATGAGGTCAGCTGCATCTTCTCCTCCCTGGTGGGTATGTGAGGGTTCTCTAGAGAAACAGAACACATAGGGTATAAATCCAGAAGGGGCTTTGTTAGGGAATTGGCTCTGCAATGATGGAGGCTGAGAATCCCTGTGTATCCAGCCTAGTCCAGAGCCCGAGAGCCAGAGGAGCCAGGGCTCTGAAGGCTAGAGAACCAGGAACTCCGATGTCCAAGAGCAGGAGGAAGAGAGCGAATCCACACCTTCTCTGCTTTTGTTCTCAGCCCTCAGTGGATTGGATGATTCCTGCCACATTAATGGAGACGAGTCATCTTTACTCAGTCCACCAACTCAAGTGCTCATTTCTCCTGGAAACGCCATCACAGGCACACCCAGAAATCCTGCTGTCCCCACCATGCGGCATTCCCGAAGTGGGTCAGGTTGACATCCAAAAGGAACCAGCACACTGGGTGTGATGTGTACATACATTTGAACTCATTTCCTCTCCTCCTCCCATTCCCCTTCTGTCTCACAAAGGGTCTGGGGTGGGGAGCGTCACACTTGGAGTCAGCACATCATTTCCAGACACAGAAGCAGGGTCAGAGCTGAGCTAGAGAAGCAGCCCTGCCCAGCAGATCCTGGGTTTGGAGCTGGAGGCCTCCGTGTGGAGAATGCTCTGGGGAAGGACAAGTGCCTGCTCATTTCTGTGAGGAAGGTTATTCTCAAGAGCGAGGTGCTGCTCTGCTGTGTGCGGTACTGGCCTGGATGGTGGCTGGGGCAGGCTGTGGCACCAGCAGGCCGGGGATGGGCAGTAGTGAGTTCTGCCAGTCACAGTGGTGGGTGTGGCTCGAGGGTGTAACGAGAGGCCCGACCCCTCAGTCAGATGCACTCTGGTAAGAGGCGCACAGCAAAGCTCCCACCACCCACACTCCCGCGCCCTGTGGGGGTGCGGAGGGTGTTCATTGGGGCATAGCAGAGGCAGCTTCCTGGGTTCAGCCTTTGCACCCTTAGTTCTCACTGGCTGCCTGGCAGCCACACCGCTGGGCCAGGCCCTGCAGCGTCGCTTAGGTTGCTCCTCACTAGGGCCAGGACCTTGAGTCTCTGGGGTTTGAATCAGTGCTTTCCACTGAAATTAGCTGTAGGGGCTCTGTTCTTTGCAACCAAATAGGCCTGGGTCTCCTGAATGCCACTGTGTGCCCAGCTCTAAGCTGCATGAAGAGGGGTGGCCTTGGGATCTGGCAGACCTGGGTTCCAGTCCTGGCTCGACTGCTTTCTGCCACATGCACTGGCTTTCCTTCTCCGAGCCTCCAAGTCCTCAGGACCTCGGAAGCCCATGGTGGAGTGCAGAGTGGCTGTCAGAGTCCCATCTGGAGGCTGCAGTGGCTTGGGGACAGCCTTGACTGCAGGGCTTTCTGGGGTCCTCTCTCCAGCTGGGCTGAGCAGGGCAAGGAGCTAAGACAGCCCAGGTAGGGGAGGAGGACCCACCTCCCCCACCCTCCTGGGCCAAGGCTGTGGTCTAGGAGACCAAGTAGGCTCCTCCCAGCCAGCACAAACCCTGGGGATGCCATGCTTGCTCCTCATCACTGCCCTGCTGGACTTCAGGAGCCAGCACCCCAGCCTGCACGCAGCAGCCAGGCCCCTAGGGACTCAGGGCTGAGCACTGGCCAGGATTCCCAGGAGGGCTCGCTCGGCCAGTGGGGTGCATTTCCACACCCTCCTAAAGGGGGCCTGCTGTGGAGCTTGCAGGGGCAAACTCCAGGCAGCGTGTCCCATCAGGGCACCATGCCTCCCGCACCAGTGCCATGGAGCCCCCTGCAAAGCCACCTGGGACTGAGCCTCATTCAACCCAACTCACACAGCTCTGGAAAGCCCCGGGCTGGGGTGGGGACCCCAAAGGGCTGAGCACGTGCATGCAAGAGGCTGTGCCTCGGTCCCAGGCTCTGGTGCTCCTGGAGCTCGTAGAAATCCCCCTGCAGAGGCCTGGCTTCCTGAAACCACTGCCCTGGGAGTTGTGAGCTGGGAAGCCCAAGAGCTCTCCTCTTCCGGGCTCCCAAGGCCGCCTGCTGCCTGTGCATCGCCCCTGGCTCCCTAAGGCTCCCCTCCCCTCACGGGAGGGGCTGATGTCCCTGTGTGCTGTAAGGTCTGCCCGGGCGGGCGGCTGGGTTTCTCCCTGCCCATACTCGGGCAGCAGGAGATAAAGAGGAGGCAGGGCCAAGGGACAGGACTGCTACTGCTTTTATTCCCGCCCTCTTCTCCTTCACACACTGCTGTCCCCAAACCTGGGGCCAAGGAGCATCCACACTGGCCTTTCCACTACCTTCAGCGCTGTGCAGGGCACAGTGGAGGCTGTGCTGTACAAGCCAGGGCCCCCAGGACTGGCCATCCGCTTGAGGCCCCACTGCTCCGGCCAGGGAGCTGCAGAGGGGCAGGCCCTGACTCTAGACCTGAGGCTGGCTCCCGTGGCTGGAGAGAGGGACCCCAGCAGGATTCCCTGGAGATGACCACAACCCTCACCCCAGTTCTGGAAAGCAGGTCCAATGCCTTTGTCCCTCACTCTAATAACTGGGTGCCCACTAATTTTTTTAAAGGAATTGTAAAAGTGGCTGATACCCGTACAGTGCTGCAAGTCTCCATTATCGCTTCCAGCAGGGCGGCCCTAGCTGGAAAGGAGCCTGAGGCAAGACCCACGCTTAGCACCAGGGACAGAGGCCTCCCAGGAGGTGGCCGACCTGACTGTGCCTAGCGGCCTGGACCTCTCTCCCTGCCCTACCAGGGATGTGCAGGGGAACGCGGAGCCCAGCCTTCGGCAGGGTGGCCCCCAGCCCCCACCCACCTTGGCCTCTGCTTGTGGCAGTGTCCTGACAGGCCTGGGCCCCCACACAGGCTGCTCAGCCCTCAGGGGAGACCCTGGTGCCAGGCATGGGCTGGGGAAGCCCTAGGGCTACTGCCTACAGCCCATGAGGGAGGTCAAATTTGGGGGGAAAGAGCTCTAAAGAGCTGCAGGCACTGAGGCCAGAGGTCTGAACTAGCATGGGGGGGCGCACCCTGAGGAGAGAAGCCTGGGGATCAGGGGGTAGAGGAGGAGGCGGGAAGACCTGGTGTGGAGCCTGAGAGTTGCAGGAACCCCAGCCTTGGGTTCAGGGGCTGTGGGGCCACAGGGCCACCTTCCTCTCTCAGGGGACCTGGAGGACACAGGTGCCTGGGGATGTCGGCAGCCTCAGACCCACCCAGGCCAGGGAGGCTGCTGGCACCAGATCCCGCCCCAACCCTGGAAACCACCAGCACCGTGTAGCTTGGGATGTCTTCAAATCACTCAGGTACCTTGGGCCTGCCCCACATCTGTAGAGAATAAAGTGCTTCATTTATTGATGATTAAAATGTCCCCGGCCCTCTGCCCAGTGCTGCAGGCCTCCAGGGGGTTCCCAGGGGTTCTGTCCCCTCACTGGTCCCTGGGCCCAGGCCTCCTCCCACAGCAGCCATGCTTGGAAGGTGGGGGGGCAGAGGTGGGGTGTAAGGTGCAGAGTATAACAAACAAAACCGCATGAACACGATAGGAAGAGCTTAACTAGGAGACCTGTAGCTTATGGAACCTCCTCGCCCATTTTCAAGGCAGGAATGAAGACGTTAAATGACAACAGAAAAGGCTATCCTATTAGTAATGCTGGCCTCCAGGTGCAGCCCTGGATGCAGGCTGGACTCCACCGCCCCTGGGGTCTGGACGTGCGGCTCCTCAGAGCGGGATGCGGGCACCGCCCCTCACCCTCTGAGGAGGCCCAGGAGGGACGGGGTGGGGGGCTGGGAGCGGAGGCGCAGACACACACAGACCGCGCGTCTCCTGGCGTGGGGTCCAGCCAGCGTGGCTGGTGAGGGCCAGGTGCTCTGAGACGCAGCCTGGCCCCACCCCACCGTAGCACCGTGGGACCCTAAAAGGCTTGCCTGAGCCTCCTCCTGGGCCCTGCCCCTGAGTCGCACCTTCGCAGCCCAGGGCCGGCGCTGCCCAGGGCCTGGTCACCGCGCAGAGGCCCAGCTGCTTCTGGGCCCTCATGGCAGCCGGAGCAGGCCGGGGACCTCTCCACCGCTGGCAGGAGTGTCACCGAGCAGGGCAAACCCTCGGGGCCAGCCCCTGTCTGCCCCACTCCCAGATCCCGGCCTGCAGTCTCGGCCCCCGGCTCCTCCTGGCCCACAGTCCCGGGGTCCAGCCTGAGCTCCGCCTCAGCATCCACGCCCTCCGGTCAGCCCGCATCTCCAGGCCTCCAGGAGAAGCGAGCCGGTCTGAGCACAGGTGAGGGCGAGCACCGAGTCTGCCCAGGACGCCCCACCCTGGGCAGCAGCGCCCTCACCTAGAGGGCCGCTGCAAACTCCTTCCTCTACCTTCTCTTCCAAAAATACACTGAACAAAGGAGCCGAGGCTTCCAGGAGTGGCGGAGGGGCATGGGGACGAGGTGTCCCTGCGGTGGTCCCACGGGCCAGGGCTGCGGTCTCAGTGGTGTGCGCCAGGCCCTGCGGGGAAGGGCGGCGGGCCGAGCCCCGCGGGCTGCGTGCTGGTGGCGGCAGGCAGGCTCACGCGGAAGCACTTCTCCTTGTGCGCCTTGAGCATGTTGGAGAAGCGGAAGCGCTGGCCGCACACGTCGCACGGGTAGGGCTTCTCGCCGGTGTGCGTGCGCCGGTGCCGCTTCATGTTGGGCCGGCTGGTGAAGCTCTTGCCGCAAATCTCGCAGATGTAGGGCTTCTCCCCTGCGGGGCGGGGCCGGGAGGGCGGGGTCAGGCGGCCCAGGGAGGGCGAGTCCCGCCTTGGGCCCCCGGAGAGGAGAGGGCGGGAGCAGCGGCACTCACCGGTGTGCGTCTTCATGTGCTCGTCGAAGTACTGCTTCATGTTGAAGTCCTTGCCGCACCACTGGCACATGAACTGCTTGTGCCCGACGTGGATGCTCATGTGCGAGCGCAGCTGGTACTTGTACTGGAAGCGCTCGCTGCAGTTCTGGGGGTCGGGGTTAGGGGCTAGGTCAGGCCACAGGGTCGGGGGTCCGGGTTGGGAGGTTCAGGGTCAGGGCTGGGGTCAGAGTTAGGGCTAAGGGGTTGGGGTTAGGGTTGGGGTTAGGGTTAGGGTTAGTTAGGGCACAAGGGATGAGGCGTCCTTAAGGCCAGGGATGGGGTTGGGGTTAGGGTTTGAGTTGGTAGCATTGGGGTTATGTCTAGGCTGGAGGGGTGAAAGTTAGGGAGTCAGGATCAGGGATGGGCTTAGGGTCAGGGCATTAGGGGCAGGGTTTGGGCAGGAGGAACTGCGGGCCGGGCCAGGACAGGCTGCAGGCTGTAGGCAGCAGAAGTCCCAGGCCACAGGGGCTCCCTTCTGCTCCTGGACTTTCGTCTCTGTCCCCCACTCCTCGGCCCCTGCCCGGCCCTACCAGGCCCGGAACACACAGATGCCCCACCTGGTGTGCACCCCACCTGGCTGCACAGGTGAGGCCCTGGTCCCGAGGCCGGTGTCCTGCCCTAAACCCTGCAGGCCGGTGGGCGGCGCTTACCTCACACCGAAAGGGCTTCTCCCCTGAGTGCTGCAGCGAGTGCACCTTGAGAGACATGCTTCGCTTGAAGGACTTCCCGCAGGTCTCACAGGTGAAGGGCATGTCCTTGGTGTGGGCTGCGGGTGGGCACCGAGCTGTCAGAGCCGGTCAGTGCCCCCCACGCACCCTGTGGGTCCAGGCGCCATCGGGGCAGCCCAGGGACATGCCCTTTCCTGGAGAATGAGTGGCACTGGGTCCAGGCCGGCATTTTTACAACTATGGGGTCACTGCAGCAGAGACTGCTGAGGGCCCAACAGCTGTTCAACAGCAACAGCACCCCACCCATGGATGGGAGCCCCCAGCAGAGGCTGGGGAGATCTGAGACACAGGGAAGAACCCAGCCACTCTGAAGCCGACAGTGGTCTTGGTTTACTCAGCGTGCTCCCAGGGAGCTCACACGGGAGAGGCAGCACTGTCCACCCAGTAGGGAGAGGGACGGGACCCAGCCAGAGCCCTGACATCCACCTCTGTCAAGCCCTTGCCTGGACTAGGCAAGGAAGGGGAGGCACAGAACACAGGCAACCAACTAGGCTGCGTGTGGTGTGGGCACCTGCCCAGGGCCTCCTGTACCCAGGAGTGACCCCCGCCTTGAGGGGTGGAAGGGAGAAGCAGGCACAAAGAAGGCACGCCTTTTCTTGGGTACTGCCCCAGCCAGGACACACCTGGCCAGCCCAACAGGACCCTCCCACCCCTCCTGCTGCCCTGGACAGAGTCTTCCCGTCCATCTGCCCGCAGGCACATCCTGCCTGCGCTGCCAGCAGCCACCCTGCCCCGACTCACCCACCATGTGCTTGCGCACATGCGCCATGGTGTAGAACTTCTTCTCACAGATCTCACAGGAGAACTTCTTCTCTGCATAGCCATGCACGATCTTGTTGTGCTCGTGAAGGGACCACAGTTTCTTGAAGGCCTTCCCGCACGTCACACACTGCAGGGCGAGATGACTGTGCCCTCAAACAGGCCACTGCCTCTCCCTGGCCTCAGCCGCCTCACTTCAGGTGTGCTGCAGAGGCCCCTGACACCCACAGGGCTGGGGATGGTGACTCACTGCACACCTGCACATTCAGGGGGCTCCGGCCCCTTCGCTGGCCTCGCCTCGCTGCGCTGCGAGGATACACAGGCAGCCCACCACAGGCACAGTCCACGGACACCATCAGGACCTGTGCCCGACAACGTGGAGAGCCCCAGGGATGGCTCCAGGGGGCTGGCTGGGGACAACGGTGGGGGGCTGCGGGATCAACTCCTCCCCGTCTTCCCCATCCTGCCAAGCCCTGCAGGATACCCCGGGGCCAGAGCCTGGCCTGGCTGGCACAGAGGCTGGGCCAGAACACCTAGCCCAAAAGTACACAGGACTCTGCCCCTTCGGTGTGTGGCAGGTAGAAGCAGAGAGCAGCCCAAGGCAGACAGGAAGAAACAGGTGAGGGATTGAGCAGGAGACTGGGGCCTCCCCGGGAACACGGGGCGCTGTGCTGAGCAATTAGTTCAGGCAATTAGCATCCACCACCTGCACCTTTGCCTCTGCTCCTGGGCCAGAGACGGGCAAAGGCCCTGAGGGCCCCAGCTGGCCCTGTGCCACAGACACCCCAGGAACCAGGCTGGCAATACGTACTTCATTGGCCCAAAGCAAGGAGCCAAACCAGCTCCTCCACTCTTCCCAAATGTCTTATCCGGTCCCTTCTCCTGGGCCCACGCTCCTAGCATCTCCAAGGAGCTGAACGCAGGGGGCTCCTCCCGCTGGGCTGCCCCTGCTCTGGACAATGCCTTTGTGGGGAACGAAATGACTCCCCCACTGCACAAACCTCCCTTCCCCTCCTGTGGACTCTGGTGCAGTACACAGCCTGTGACGCTGTACAAGGTGGCACTTCCGGCCTTCCTGCAGCTCCAGCAGGCCATGCCCTGGCCTGCTTTCTGCATTCCAATTCCCCCACCCCTCTGGCCAAGGGCACAACTGTCCCAGGCCTCTCTGCACATCTGTCTGTTGCCTCCCGCAGGGAGCTCTCCTTGATGCCATCCCCAGAGCCCTCCAGGCCAGACACTGCCCCGCCCCCGCTGCCCAGGCCCACCTGGATGTTGCGCTCGCAGTTTGTCTGCCGGTGCAGCACCAGCTCACTCTCCAGCAGGAAACGCTTGCCACACTGGTCGCAGATCTGCATGCGGCTGTGTGTCACATTCATGTGCTTCTCCAGGTACCAGCGGTTGTTGAAGACCCGGGGGCACTTCTGGCATGGGTGGTGCTGCTTCTCCTCTAGCTTCACCTTGGCCCCTAGCCCATCTGCGGCCGGCGGTGCATGGGCCGGGGTGGGCGCCACCCCAGGGGGCTTTGGCCGCTTCCCACGCCGCCTGGCCTCCTGGGGCTCAGAGGCAGCCCGGCGCCCAGCGCGTGCGTTCTCCCGGGACCTCGTGGCCATGCGACCATGGGCAGTGGGGTCCACCTGGCCGCCCTGGCGACCCCCAGGGCCTGCCGAGCCCTGCCTGCCTGTGGGCCCCCCTTCCTCCTCCTCCCCTTCCTCCTCCGAGCTCTCAGGGCCCTGCTCGCTGTGCCCCTCCTCCCCCTCTTCCTCCCCCTCCTCTTCCTCCTCCTCCTCTCCCTCACTGCCACCCTCCTCCTCCTCCTCCTGACCTCCGTTCCTCCCTGCCTCTCCTCCTTCCTCCTGCTCCCCCTCCTCGTCCTCTTCGTCCTCCGAACGTCGCTGCAGCCCATCCTCCCTGCCCAGCACCATGGTGGCTGTGCTGGCGCCCGGCCCTGGCTTGCCCTCGGGCCCTGTGGACACGTGCAGTGTCTGGTTGTTGAGGTTGACCTCCACGATGATCTGCGACTGCTCCTGCCGGCTGTAGCTGCCGGCTGCCTCCAGCGCTTCCTCCAGCCCCTCGCCCCCTTCCAGCTTGCACGGGCCACCAGCCGCCTCCACACCGGCCTCCTTCTCCTCCTTGAAGAAGGGCTGCGCCGGCCCCAGGGTGGCTGGCACTGTGTCCCCAGCAGTACCTGCCCCGTCCTCCACACGCACCGAGTAGGGGTCAGGACCCTCTCGGGCATAGATCTTCGGCAGCCCAGGGGCGTCAGCCTCCTGCTTGATGTCACAGTAGTAGGGCGGTGTGGCTGGGTTGCAGCTCGCGGCTGGTGGGGCCAGCGCCACTGCAGTGCTGGGGCCGGGTGGGCCCAGGGAGCGGGCGTCCAGCAGCTCCTGGCAGGACGCAGCTATGTCGGCCATCTGCAACAGCGAGGCGGCGCTGAGCACCTCGTGCACGTTGGTGGCGTTGACCAGCAGCTTGGACGTGTAGATGAAGTTGAGGATCTGCTGCAGGCCGCCCGGTGCCAGCGCCTCCAGAGACAGCTCAACGCGCTGCAGCTGCTTGTTTTGCGTGAAGAGCGAGTGGAAGAACTGGCTGTAGGCGGCCAGCACGCCCTTGTGGGCCGGGAAGACACTGCGCTGCGGCACCAGCACCAGGTCCACGTCGCACAGGTCGGGCTGGAAGAGGCGCTGCTCGTTCAGGCGGCCCATCAAGCAGGCGAAGTGCAGCGCCACGTCCTCCACCAGCGAGAACTCGGCCGCTGGCGAGTCGGTCGTCTTCTCAACCAGCAACTGTTGGAGGGCAGCGGAGGGTCAGGGTGGCAGGGGACCCACAGACGCTTCCCACCCCACAGCAGCTCCCTCTCCCGGTCCCTCCCTCCTGGCAGGGTCATCAAGGAGGTGGAGCGGGAGCCACCCCAGGACCCTGGGTCAGTCCACTTTCCTGGGCCTCCGCTCTCCCTGTGAGAGGCACGGTTGCCCTGGGAGGGGAAGTGGATGGGAAGGCCAGGGGAGGGGCCGGGGGGGCCCTGCCATCCTTTCCTCCCCCTCCTGACCCTCCAACACCCCACTCCCCTGTTGGTCCTGGGCCCCACAGATCCCCCCACAGGACGCCTCGCTCCCCACCTGCCGGCCCCCTGCCTGGAGGACAGCTCTGCACCCCAGCCACCAGCCCAGCAGGACCTCAGAGACTCAGGGATGAGCCCAGCCCTATCCCTAAGACCACCTCCCACGCCAGCCCTTCCTCGGAGGGGGTGGGGAGTGTCTGAGCTAAAGTCCTAGGTCTCTGCATGAGAACCCGCCTCAGGGTGAACCTCAGAGAGCCACCAGCAGCCACCTGCCCTCCACGCCAGCAGTGAGGCCACTCTGTCCTGTGTCTCTCAGACTCCAGGGTGGCAAGGCTCTGGCCGTGTATGCCATCTTCCTGCAGATCCTCCACATTCCCCAAACCCGGAGCCACTGTCGGCCCTGTCCGGAGCTGCTGGCCACCCAGCCTGGCCAGTCTAACCCAGACGTGGCACCAAGCCCCTCCCATTCCCCACCGCTGACTCACTCTGCTTCCTCCACTGGGCCCGGACTCTGCAAGATGGGGAAATCAAGGATGGGAATGAGGGGTCCTCTGCCTGCCTCCCAGCTCTGCTAGGGCTGCCCCTGCCTGCTGGGCTGGACCCGGCTCTGCATGGTTGGATTCAGGAAGCAGTTCCTGGGAGCCCTCCTAGCCAGGGACAGCTGTGGTCTCCCAGATCCCCGCCCACCACCTGCTCCCTGAACCCCTGCACCTGTAGGTCACTGAGGGCACAGGGAGCAACAGGCCAGACAGTAGTGGGGAAAAATGGCAAGGCCTGTCGGGGTTGGACGATCTCGATCAGCCACGTCAGCACCACCCTGGACACAGATGCTGCCCAGCCCCGAGTGGCAGCCCTCTGCAGCCAGGTGTGCCACAGCCTGAAGCTGTGGGTGCCCCTCCCCATCTGGCCATGCCAGCTGCAGCCACACACCCATCCCAGGCCCAGCCCCCAGCCTGGCAAGGATGCCCCAGGGACAGGCTGGCGCTCTACCGCCATCAAGCCCTCCAGCCAAGTCAGGTGGGCACCCTGATACCTGAGGGCACCTGCCTCGCCCAGGAGACCTTGTGATGAACCCAGGCATCTAACCGTGCCTGCTCCTCCCATGCCAGCCTCCGGCCTGGATGCACGGTTGTATACGAAGCCAGCCTGGCACAGGCACCAGCTCCTGGCCTCAAGGCGCCTCCTCTCCGGGAAGGGTGGATGCCAGCCCCTGTCCCCGCCTCTGCTCCCTCCCGGGGACAGACCAGAGAGGCGGGGGCGCCCAAGGTCACGCCGCAGCTCGCACCGGCCTGTGGCCCCATCCCAGATCCAGGGCCGGGCGTGCGGCGCCCACGTGGCCGAGGCCAGTGGGAACCCGACCCTCCCCGCCCGGCCCGGGAGAGCGCAGGACTTGGCCCGGCGCTGCGCCCCCACCCCAGGAATTCCCCCGCGGCGCCGGGCCCGGGGTGGGAAGCGCGTTCCGTTCGCGGGACGAGGGGCGGGGCGGGGGAGGAGAGGGCGAGGTCGCCCCCCGGCCGTGCGCGCCGCGGGCGGGGACCGAGGGGACCGGCAAGGCCAGGGAGCGGGGCCCGTACCATGGTGCTGCGGCGCGGGGGCTCACAGGGCCCCGCGGTTTCGCGCTGCGCCCGGCGGCCGGGCCGGGGCCGC